CTTATAGAAAACTGAGGTCACGTGGTCACCAGTGGTTCTGAGAATTCAGTCTCTGAGAGGGCCTGATGGCAAGCCAAAGGAGAAAGGTTATCAGAAGAAGAAGGCATGGGTTTTCTGCAAAACCCTAGAAGTCTGCACAGTGATTGTCCTATTGGTGCTTGCCAGAGACTCCGCACAATGTCACTACTTCCCACAGACACTTTAATATTATTGGATCTGCTGGGTAGAAACACCCAGTTGGAAGAATAGCTTGTACTGCAGCCTGGACTCATTGTACAGTTATCAGTTGCTCTGATCCCCACACAAAATGGGCAGCCGTATGAGTTACACAGTAAATAAGTCAATGTAACACACACATATGTAATATAAATTTCATAGTCCCAAAGAGTCCACCAAACATTATTTTTAGAGGCGGTCTGTGCAAGGTGCAGCATCAGGTCTTTTACCTTGAAGAGGATATCTTTCCATGAGGTGTCCAACCTTTTGGCATCTCTGGGCCACACTAAAAGAAGAGGAGTTGTCTTGGGCCACACATTAAGCATGCAAACACTAATGAAAACTGATGAGCCAAAAAAAAAAAAAAGGTTTTATGTAAATTTATGATTTTGTGTTAGACCACATTCATAGCCATCCTGGGCCACATGCAGCCCACCGACCAAGGGTTGGACACCCCTGATTGAATTTCTAGAAACTTCACTGAGGTTTTACTTTCCTAAATTTTCATGGGAGTACATCTCATATCTTCTGATTTTCATATGTCTTACTAAGGTATTTGTAGTACTTTCTGCTTCTTGCTCATCAGATTCAATTGGGATGATATCATCAGTGTAGTGGACCAATGGACATTGTGAGGAATGGTAAGATTGTCAAAGTTTCTAAGTATTATGTTATGTCAAAGAGAAGGAGAAATTACATGGCCTTCAGGCAAGACTGCGAAGGTGTACTGCTAGCCCTTCCAGGTAAAAACAAAGTGCTTCCGGTGGACTTTGCAAATTACTATAGAGTCAAACACTTGATAGGGCAATAGCTGAATACCAGAGGCCAGGGGTTATGATGCTCTACTTCAGTGAAGAAACTACATTTGGAACAGCAGCTGCAGTTGGAGTCACTGACTGATTAAGCTTACATAATCCACAGTCATTCTCCAAGATCCCTCCACCTTCGGAACACAGTCAAATAGACAAATTGGGATATGAGAGATATCACTGTAACTGCGACTTTTAAGTTCAAAACACTGACTGCTGCAGTTCCCCCTAGAAATTACCCCTTTGGGATTTTCCCCAAAGCCAGGGTTGTTCTGGCACCTTGTTATCATTGAATTTAGGCCGCAGGTAAGTGCAAATTTAAGTCAGCCAACCAAGTAGGATGTTAAAGTCCCTTCCAGCGGCATGGGCTAATGTTAAATGTACAATTTTTGGTAAATGGACCCAGCTTAATAAATTGCGCCCAATGCAACATTACATTCTATCCTCCTTGGAATAACATCCTCAGAATCCATTCCCACACATATTCCCCCAGGTTTCTGCCAGTATTCCCTAGCAAAAAAATCTTGTTATTCTTTCCATGTATAAGGAACTTCCTCCTGGGTCTTAGCGTGTGCTGTACCCTTAGGCCACGTTGAGATTGGACATTATTATGGGTCTAAAGGTAACGGGGGATGGTTGTGGTGGGTCGTGGGGAGAATAGGTGTTCCCTTGCAAGGCAGCAGAGAGCTTCCATGACCGTCCTAAAAATTCTCTTGCTTTTTGCAGCCATGGGGCTAACTGTGTGAAAACCAAGCACAACGTTTAATTGTGTGGGTCACAGAACCCCATCTTAATTGAATTCCCAGCCCCTTCACATTTCTCATGGGAAAGGCAGGGCAGTGGATGGGGAGGAGTGGGACCCTGAGACTTAATAGTGCTTTCAAGACCGAAGATGCAAGTGAACAAACCAATCCCCAAAGCCTCCCTTTCAGAATACGATTCCTGATGCCACTCCTGTTTTCAGTTTCTCAATCAGTCTGGAATGGCTCTTATCAGGAAGGAGAAATGATGACAGATCCTGTCCTTCCCTAGCACCTTCAGAGCCATCTCAACCCTGTTGATTTGATCCTGGACATCTGGCCTCCAGAACTGGGAGACGATACATTCCCGTTGTATGTCACTTGGTGTGTGATCTTTTGTTACAGCAGCCCCCTGCCTAAGGCTGCAAGGAAGGAAAGAGGCTGCAACTCCTCCAGCTTAGCAACCTCCCAGGAGAAACTCAGTCTGAGGCGGGCAGATCCTAGCTGGTGCTGGGGGTCTCTGAGCTCAGAGGAGGGTTTCCTGGGGCTGAGACCCAGACCTGTGAAGAGGAGGAGGGGCACTGGTTGTCTGGTGTTGGTGTCTCAGAGGTGGGATGCAACAAACCTGCTTTTGTAAGTATTGGGAGATCTGAAAATTGGATTCCACTAGTGCCATGGAAATGAGAGGCTTGCCGTGAGGGTGAGGAAGCTCCTTATGGTGATGCTGACAGGAAGAAGCATTTCCCTCCTTCCTCCTTCAGCCTTGCAGTCTTCCTCCAACATCCTCTGTTGGCAGAACCTAAACTTGGAGCCAGCTAGCAAAGCATGAACATGGTTTGCAGAGTCCCCACTCTGAAACCATGAGGCAGAGGACAGCACAGTGAGTTGGGACCCAAGAGACAGTATAACAACTTAATAATTGGCATGCTCATTCTCCGGCCCAACAACCCTCCTCTCCTGGGGCATGTACCCTCTCCTCTACCCCCGAGAAAGGACTGCATATTTCCACTTGATCCATAATAGCCAGAACTGGAAGTGACCCAAATGTCGACCAATGGAAAAATGGATAAGTAAGTCATGGTGAGCCCCACAATGGATACTTAGCAATGAACAGCAGGGAAAAAATGACACAGACAGCCACATGGGTGGTGTCACAATACTGGTATTTGTTGGGTGGAGGCATGAAGGATTTTTCTGCCGTGATAGAAATGTCCTACAGCTTTGATCTGAGTGATGGGTTCACAGGTAAAAAAAAACTCAGATGTGCACTTTCTTTCACGTATGCTATCCCTCAATAAAGACACTTGAGCGGACTTTTAGGGCAGTGAAATTACTCTACATGATGTTGTAAAGTTGGATCCATGTCATTATACATTTGTCCAAATCCACAGAACACACAACCCCAAGAATGAACCCTAATGTAAGCTGTAATTAATGATAACATATCACTATTGGCTCATCCGTTGTAACAAATGTCCCACACCAATGCAATATCTTAGTAACAGAGGAGACTGCTAAGGGCAGGGAATGAGGGATACTATAGGAGAACTTTCTACTCTCTGGCCAATTTTTCTGTAAACCTGAAATTGCTCTAAAAAAAGTATTAATTTTTTGTATTATTCTATTAGTTGTCCCAATTCCCCCCCTCCCTCCCCCAGTTGCTCTCTCCTACCCCACCCACCGCACCTCTGCTCCCACAGTCAATCCCCACCCTGTTGTCCATGTCCATGGGTCCTTTATACATATCCCTTGACTAGGCAGCTCAGGGCAGACCTGGCAGCGCCACATCATCGGGATCCCAGGCTCCTTTGATGTTGCTGCTCTGCCATCCTCAATAGCTAGCTAACTTCCATTCACTGGTCCAGCATGGCTCCTCCCAGCCCACCATCAAATTTGTGTTCCTGCTGGTGAGAAGATGGAGCAGGACAGGGAAAGGCATTCTCTGTTTCTTTAAAGGCACAGCCCAAAGGTTGCCCCTCCATTCACATTCCACTGGCCCCATCTAGGTGCAAAGGAGGATGGGAAATATATCTATAGCTATTGTTACGTAAGAACAAGAAGACCTATATTGGGGACAAGTGACACTGCTACAGGTGATTAAGGAGGGATGATGAACACAGACAAGTCTGGAGGGGGGTTGCTGTAAGTAGGAGCAGAGAAATGGGGAGAGATCTGGGAGGCTTTGTGGTTAGGAGTATTTTGAGTGATGGAAGCTATAACAACATGCTTGTCTACCCACGGGACTGACCAAAAGGGACAGGAAGAGAGGTACAGAAAAGAGAAGGAAGACAGAGCAGAGCAATCCTTGAGTGGGTCACGGGGGTAGGTCTTGGTGCCCAGGTAGAAGGGCCGATCTCAAGGGACTGTGGCTCACCCACGGGGGCTGGGCCAGGGGAAGGCAGAGGGTTTGGGGCAGAGCTTCAGGGATGGATTTGACGGTGGGGGAATAAATTCTCTTCTGTTGCTTTCTGCCCACTCAGTTAACGGAACAAAGGCCCGGAAAGACCAGAGGTAAGGAAAAGGTGCATGGCCCTCACCCGGGAGAGCCAAAGAACATACTGACTCAGGAGTTCCCAGGGCAGGCTGGCTGTGCCCATGGGTCCACTTGAGGTTTATGTGTGGTCGTTCATTTAAAGTGCACACTGGTTGCATGCTTTGTCTGGTGTGGCTCAGTGGATTGAGCGCCAGCCTGCAAACCAAAAGGTCATCAGTTCGATTCCCAGTCAGGACACAAGCCTGGGTTGTGGGCCGGGTCCCCAGTAGGGGGCATGCGGCAATCCTTGCCATTTCTCTCACATATGTGTCAATATTTCCCTCCCTCTCTCTCCCTACTTTCCCCTCTCTCTAAAAGTAAATAAAAATTCTTTAAAAAAATAATAAAGCACATAGTGGTTTCAAGGGCTGGGCACCAAGGGAGGTCTACTCCATCTGGGCACTGAAGCCAGGAGCCAGACAGGCACTTGAAGGTTGCTTGTCACATTAGACGAGGGAGACGCTCCAGCGCCTGCTCCACTGCTGGAATGAGGAGTCCAATGATGGCGATAACCCGGAGCTGCCTTGAAGGCCAGCAGGGGCAAGAGGAGCAGGCAGCAAGGCCTGGAAGGGGAGGGAGGAAGAGTTGGCCTACTGCAGGGAACGAGGGAGATGGCAGAGAAGCCATGCTCAGTAAAATGACAACAGTTCCTCTTTGTTTCCAGGTTTTTATTTGCCTGTTATAATTCTGATATTTATGTACATATATATATTTTTGTTTTTTTGTAAAGGGCTCATCAACAGACCAAGCAAAGGCAGACAGGGAGACAGGGGCTGCTGGCAGGAGCACAGCAGAGCTGGGAGAACCCATCTTTCCTTTTTTTTTTTTTTTTTTAATTTTTCCTGGGATGGGATCATCAAAGCTAATTGCTATAAAACCTAGAAACCACCTAGAGACTCAGACATCTGCCTACACACTAGTGGCATATGGGGAAAGGGCAAGGGTAGGAACTGTCAAAGTCATGGTGTATTTACATTCCCAAGGTGGGCAGAAGGGAAGGCTGAGGAAGGAAACTGTTCTGACCGGGGGGTGGCAGGGCTGCTAAGGGGTCCTAGAGTGTGGTAGCAGCTGGGAGAGGCAGGGGCCAGGGGCAGTGGGAAGGAGGTGTGCCCACCGCATACCCTGGCAGTGATGGAGGCCACTTGGATGTTGTCTGATGGGTACTGAAGGCAGCGTGTGTATGGAGCTCCTGAAAGCCAGCCACGGGGTGCGGTGGGCAGCCAGAGGAGGGTGATACTGGCAAGTGGGGACTCTGCGCTCTCCACATGGCCTCCTGCACCCGTGGCCAGCTTACTCAGCACCCATCCCGGTTGGAGCAGAGATGGCAAAGAGAAGAGAGCAGATGGTGGGGACCCAAATTCTATCCTCAGTCCCAGCCAGGCTGGCCACAAAGTGGCCGGGGAAGAAGGTGCCAGTCCTAGTCCTGAAAAGATCCCACCAGGCTGCATCTGGGAGACACCTGTGGAGCCATCTCCACTTCCCCTCCCCGACCACCACGGCCTCTGTCTGCCCAAAGGCTGGCAAGGCAGCACCTGAAGGCTCCTGATGTTTGAGCGATCAGCCAGCCCCCGAGCTGGAGCAAAGCAGCGTGTGCCCAACAAGGGGTGCAGCTGGGTTTTGGCAATAAAGTGGGGTGTGGGTAGTCATAAGGGGATTAGGCAGTGAGCTCCTCTCTTCTGCTCCCAACTCAAGCCTCCCACTGGCCCAGGGCCAGAGGGTGGGGTGTGAGGCCTGGTGGCGACAGGAAGGGGCCTCAGTCCCAAGGTCAGGGGCCCAGAACAGGCATCGGGCTGCGGGGTCTTGGCCTCTGACTCCACTGTGGCCCGCCCAGCCCTGGGCTGCACCTTGCCTGGCTGGACCCCACTACTCCAAGGTCCCTGCAGGGTTGATGGGGGAGGCAGCCCCTGAGCTGTCGTTGCCTCCTGCTGCCTCCTTCTCCTTCTTGCCACTGTACTGGCCAATGAAGGAGCCGTCCTCGTTGAACTGGACGTCCACACTGCCCCCATAGTCAGCCAGGCTGTCATCACTGCCCAGGGGCTTGATGTCTCCATTGAGGGATGGCTGGCTGCTGCCAAAGGCCTTCTCCTCGTTGTCACTGCAGGGGCAGAGGGCGGGAGGGAGTGGGAGGCTGCCCAGTGGAGCCCAGCAAGAGCTGACAGGTGCCGGCCTCCTGGAGGAAGCCCGGCTGGGAGGCACGGTGGCGCCCCAGTGGCCCAGCTTCTGTCCGCTCTCCGTTTGCTCTGGGTGCAGTGAGGAAGAGGTTCTCATCCTTGACACACATCTGGGAGGGCAAGTGGCACGCACACCACCAGAAGGGCAAGGGCTGAGTATACCCAGAGTCCTGGCAGATGTGAGGGAGCGAGTGGTACTCAGCCTGGGGTGCTCAGGGGCCCTGGCTCCTTGCCTGTAAGTGAGCCACACAGGAGCGCCTGCCCAGCTGTTAGGCGCTCCTTCCAGAGCTCACAGGGGAGGAGTTGGGAAGGCGACAGGCAGGCCTAGAAGCTGGGTGTCAGAGTGCACAAGAGCTGGAGGTGTTGGCTTGTCTCTGAAACAAGGAGCTGCCAGGTCAGAAGGCTGGGAGAGTGCAGAGTTTGGCAAGTAGGGGCCAGTGGCACTCCCAAGCACACGGTGTCCACAGGAGGGTCCCTGTCCTAGGGGTCGGACAATATCTTCCCACCACCCCTGCCTTACCTCTCCAGGGACCTGATGTCACCCGGCAGCACAAGGGAGAGAGAAAGACAGGGTCAGATACGAAAGCAAGGGTGGCACTGCTGGGCAGCTGGCTGGCAATGCTTCCACCCCCAGCTCACCTGTACTCGCCGAAGGTCTCGTCCTTCATCGGCCGGGCCTCGGAGTCCACCTGGGTGTCCTCCTTATCCTTTACTGAAGACACACAGAGAGGAGCCAGCTTCTTCTCCAGCCCCAGCCTGTCTCTGGACACTGGGCCCCATCCCCCAGCAGGGGTCATAGGTGAGGCTCTCCCTCTGTGCTCTGAGCGCCCCCAACACCGTGTCGGCAGCTCTCAGAAGCCAGGAAACTTTCAAGGGGGTAGCACTCATCCCACACAGGCCTGGCTGCCATTTCCTCTGGTCCCCTGCCTGCCCCCAACATGCCCATGCCATCTTGCTTGAGGCTCAGGAGGAGACAAAGGAGGACTTGCGGAAGGGATATAGGGTGGCCCAGGGTCAGGGTTACCTGAGTACTTGCCACCCTTGCTGCGCTTGATAAAGCAGAGAATGAGCAAGATGAGGAGCAAGAGAATGATGGCGCTGACGAAGCCAATGAACCAGCCCTCGGTGGCAAAGCCGGGGGGAGGGAGTCTCACTCGGCCTGATGAGGAGAGCCCATTCCGGGGTGAGACAGGGGCCCTGGGCACTGCAGACCCTCAGCCCAAGCCCATGCCACCAGGTTCATGGCTTTGTGGGCAGGCCTCACTTTTGTCACAACCCCTCTGCCCTCAAGGAGTGGGCAGTGGCAGGGGCAGGCCTGGCCCGCAGACACCAGAGGGTCCGGTGGGGGGTAATGACCTGGGGCTGAGGTGTGCGTGTAGCTGACACTTGAGGGGGACTCTCTGGAGCACAGCGGGCAGGAGGGGAGACCTTCTGACAGAATGATTGCCTTAGAGACAGTTAAAATAAAAGGATACTAAAATGGGCCATTGCAGGGGCCTGGACTTCTCTGCCATGGACCAAGGGGCACCCAGATTCTGGGAGGAGAGAGGAGCCATGGCATGGGGCCTGGGGCAGTGGTGGCTGAGCCAGAGACAGAAGGAAGCTTCCTGGGGCCTCACCAGTGCCATTGGTCTTCACAAACATTTGGCGCAGGAACATCATCTCCTTGAACAGGCGAATCTCGTAGGAAGTGTCAGGCTGCAAGTCCCACTGTGTGTAGGTCCTCTGGCTGTAGTTGACATACTGTGGCAGGAGGTAAGGGGGCATCTTCTCATCTGCAGGGGTGAGAGGGGAGCAAGGATGAATGGGAGCGCTAGGCAGCACCCTGGCTCCGCACCGCCCCCAGTCGCTCTGGGCCCAGAGCACCTCCCCCCGCAGAGGCCCCATTTGCGCTCACCACCCTGGGCTTTGAATGAGATCTGGAACCTGAAGTTGCACTGGCCCTCCTTGGGGATCCAGGAGACCACGCTGTAGTTCTCGCCAGCCATGGCTGAGATGTTACCAAAATCTGGGGTCCCTGGGGAGCGAGAGGAGGGTATGGGACCTTGAAGCAGCTCAAGGTTCGCCCTCCCGGGCCTAGTTGCCTGGCGGGACCTCCTTAGCCCTTCCACCTTACCAGATAGGGCCATGGTGCTTCCTTCCCGCACAATGGCCTCGCCAGGGCCCTCCTTCGTGGTGGCCTGCAGCTGGAAGCGGTACCGCAGGTGGGGGCTGAGGTTGGTCAGGTTGTGCATCCGGAGATCAGGGTCCGAAAGGTTGAAGGACAACTGCTCCTTACCCCCATCATCCACTGCAAAGGCAGGCAAGGAAGGAGTCAGCTTCGGCGGATAGCTCTACCCACATCCCTGCTCCCTTCCGTCTCCTGGTCAGGCTGGGCTGGGCCTCTGGGCCCACAACATACGTACATGGGTGGTAGGAGAGCACGTAGCCAGTGAGCACGCCATTGTGGTTGACTGGAGGTTCCCAGTAGAGCAGCAGGCTGGTGTTGGACTGGCACTCCAGGTGCAATGCTGCAGGGTTGTCAGGCACTGCAGGGCACAGAGACGAGTAGCAGGTCCTCACCCAGGCTCACTCTGGGACAGGGAGGAGGGGCTGGGACAGGGGTGCAGAGTGCAAAGCTCACCTCCCTCTGGGGTATTGAAAGTCGTCTGGCTGGCAGGCCCCAGTCCCCGGCTGTTGAAAGCCTGCACCTCCAGATGGTAAGAGCTATAGGGCTGCAGGCCTCCCAGGATGGCGCTGGTGGTGTTGGCGGGCACCACCACATGGCCTCTGTAGACATACCTCTTGCTGTTTCTCCTCTGACCGCCCTCCCACCAGTATGTCACCTGCAGGTGGACAGGAGACACCCCATAGGGGCGGAAGGCATCCAGCAGCGATCCCCGGTACCTGCTACCCACTGCCCCAATGGGGACCCTTTCCTCACAACCCAAGGACCTCCGGAAAAGCGGCTGACAAGTGACAGAGGCCCACCTCCAATCTTCTCTCACTCTTGGTGGCCTCCCACCTCCCCCGGGGGATCACCTTAGCTTCCACACTTTGGACCCTTACATTGTATCCGCGCAGGTGGCCCTTGACCTGGGCTGGATCCACAGGCAACCACTTGACCAGCACGGTGCTCGAGTTGAGGATTTCGATGTCATCTAGCGTAGGTCTTGCCTGGGGACCTGGAAACAGGCAGTAACACGGACGAGGGCCTGTGGCATCCTGAGGCCAGCCCAGAGCCCTCCCTCGGGGGGGAAGATGGGTTTGGATGCTCTATGGGGGACAGGCAGTTTGAGGGGCAGGGCATTTGTACGGCCTCAGGGTGTCTCCCTGCAGACTGTTTCTTAGTTGCAAAGGCGAAAAGTAGAAACTACAGGGAGGGATAACCAGAGAACGTTTTGACCAGGTGATCAAAATGAACATCTGGTAATGTTCCACATTCAAGGGCAGGAAAGCAGTGGAACAACTAGACCCGAATGTGGGATCCTGGACTGGACCTTGGACTGGGGGAAAAGACAGCACTGACTGATAACTGGAATACTGGCTGCCAACTAGAGAAATGTATTGATGGTAACTTTCTGGACTTTCATAATGGCACTTTGGTTATGTAAGATTCAGACAACATTCTTACTCCTAAGAGATGCACTATTGAGAGGCGGGGACTGGGTGCACAGTGGGAGAGGAGTAGGCTGTGAAGAAGGCACATGCAGGCTCCCACACCCGCTACTCACAGTCTTCCCCAGAGTAGCCAATGGTGACCTGGGGCTCGGGGCCTTTGCCCTGGCTGTTGATGGCCTGGACCTTGATCTCATAGGGCACAAAGGTGGAGGTGTTGGACACCACCAAGAAGGGATCGCTCACGGTCTGTTCCTGCCAGGTCCCTCGCACCCCCTCAGGGCGCCACTGGACACGGTACTGAACCTGGGGGGCATTCCAGTCCATCCACATGAGTGGCTGCAGGGGGCGAGCAGGAGGGGAGGTGGTCAGCCAAGAGCAGCTCCTTCCTGTGACCTGCCCCCCTTCCCCTGTGACTCAGCCTCACGTCCCCAGTCATCCTCTGGTCTTTAGCACAGCCAGGGGGAGCAGCAAACACATGGGTCTTGGCCTGATGTCCAGGGGTGAGCTCAGGCCAGGCCCCCTCACCTTCCAAGTGATGACCATATTGTTGGTCTCATTCCCTTCCCCCTTCACATCCACGGGGTTCTTCTCCGGGGCTGAAAAGTAACATGTGGTTAACACATCAATGCTGCGGGCTCCTGCTGAGGACCCCATACCCCCTTCCCTGCTGTTGTGAGGATAAGCAAGAGACGGGGTGAAGGGCCCTGGAGAGAAGAAAGGCAGCCATGGTAGACGAACCAGTTGCTGGCTGAGTTGGCCTGGTGGCCTTGCCTGGCGAGCTGCAGGGACAGACTGGGGGTTATGAGGCACAGAAGGGGAGGCAGGTGGGCCTAGCTTGCTGGCGCTCACGGACAACATAGGTGTAGGCACTGGCCAACAGGACCAAGCCTGAGGACCAAGGAAGGAATGGCCCATTCTGACCCTGGAAAAGCCAATAGCCCTGAAGAAACCCCGACCCTCCGCTCCCTCTGGAAACCTGAAAGCAGAGGAGCTTGGGCACATTCACCTCTGCAAGCCCTTCTTACAGAGCCTAGGGACTCCAGCATCTGAGGCCCCCTCCCAGGAAGCTCACCTGCCTCAGGTGTAACCACAGTCTCAGAGGCCGGGCTGGGTTCCCCAGGGCCATATCTGTTGATGGCAGTAACTCTAAAGGTGTAGTGGACATAAGGTGACAGCTTGAGGGTGGTGGAGGTCTGGTTTCCAGGTACCTTGCCCAGACTGTGCCATTTCCCAGGATCCCTCTCCTTGTCTTCGAATTCAATGTCATACTCTGCCAAAAGAAGTGAACCGGCGACAGAGTTATCAGCGTGTGGCATGGGGGAGGGGTAATAAGGATATAAGTCTGGCTCTCCCCGAGGGAGCGCCCCAAGCAACTGGCATTCTCGGACTTGCATGAGGAACCGTGAGCCCCAGTCAGATGGTAGTCATGGAGCCAGGGCTCTGAGGGCGGACTATCTGGGGGTGGCAGTGGGGGAGGTAGTGGCATCATGCTCAGGTCTCTTACTCTCAACAGGGGAGTTGTGATCATCAGCAGGTCTCCAAGACAGGCGAACCTGGTTCTGCTTCAGCAGGTGACGATTGGACACCTCCAGCTGAGGCACGGGCCCAGGGCTTCCTGAGGGCCACGGAGGGTGGGTTCCCTGGCCCATGCTCGAGCCAGGAGGCCCACCCCCAAGCTCAAAAGCGCCCTGTGATGTGAATTTAGGCCCCTGTGCTCGAAGGCTTGTGCCCCCCATGCCTCCAGGCCGCGAGCCTGCCACCGCCCTAGGACTCACCCACCACCAGGAGTTCTGCCCTGCTTTCCACCACATCCAGCTTTGTGCTGGCCACACAGCTGTAGTTGCCCTGGTCACTATAGCTCAGGTTGGAGATGACCAGGCGCCCATGATTTATGATGTACCTGGTGGGAAGGGGAGGGAGGGATGCTTGTCCTTCTGTTCCCAGTGAACCCGCCACTTTATGTCATCTATGAAGGGAGGCTCATTCCCTTCCTTCTCCTGCCAGGACCTTCTCCCTCAAAGCAGGGGCGCTCCCCCATGGGTAAGACCAAGAGGTCTAGACATTCTGCTTTTCCCACACTACCCCCTTCCACCGAGCCCTGGCTGGGACTGGGCCCGCACTTGTCACCATCCCCAAGCTCCTGGAGGCTGTGACCGTCTCTGCGCCAGGTGATGCTGTGCTGCAAGGAGGTATCAAAGGAGGCCTGGCAGGTGAATGTCACTGTTGAGCCTTTCTTCGCAATTGTGCTCTGGGGTCCCTGCTTGATCTCAGTGGCATCTGAGGGCAATGATGGGAAGGGAGGGTCACTCTGGTCCTCCAGAGACCCTGACCATCCCTCCTGGCAGTGCTAATCGCAGGGGAGTGGTCACCTAACCTTTGACCTGCAGGTTCGCCACAATGGTTGCATTGTTTTGGTCATTCATAACGTGGCAGAAGTAGTATCCTGTGTCACTGGCACGGAGGTCTCGAATGCCCAGGGTCCCGTTGGTGTAGGGGAAGAAGCGTTCATCCTGTAGCACGGTCTTTCCTTCCTCGTTCAGCCTAGCACAAGCAGAGTGGGCCTGACACAGAACCCACCGATGTGTTCCCCCCCTGCCCTCCCTGGCTTCCTAGGCCAGAAGATGGCTTAGACCACCCCTGCTGGGGTACGGGCACTTACCACTGGAGATTGGGCACAGGAGCTCCGAAGGCCTTGCAAAGAAGGTAGGCAGTGCTGCCCTTAACTGCCAGATAGGTCTCGTTGTCTGGGGTCAGGATCTTGGCCGGCAGCTCTGGAGGAGGAGTCACAGGAAACAGCGCAGGGGCCAGATTCAGGCCTGGGCAGGGGAGCCCTGCGCACCTTGCTTCCCTATGCCCAGCTCAGTCTCCCGCCAGGCTGAGCCTCTCTCTGCCTCGGACGTGCTTCCCTATCCAAGCCACCCAAGCTTTACCAATTATTCAAGGCCCCCATGACAGTCTACCCCTTCCTGAGAGCCTTCCTAGCCCAGCCCCCATCTTCCCTGAGGCTCCAGGAGAGGAGCCACCCTGCTGGCCTTGGGCACATCCTGGTCAGGGTGACACGGAGTGGGCCCGACTTCTCTCTGAGGCTGCCTCTTCATCTGCCCTTCCTCCACACCCCTTCCCTGCTGTCGCGAGGATAAGCAACAGATGGGAGATGGGGTGAAGGGCCCCAGAGAAAAGAAAGGCAGCCGTGGTAGACGAACCAGTTGCTGGCTGAGTTGGCCTGGTGGCCTTGCCTGGCGAGCTGCAGGGACAGACTGGGGGTTATGAGGCATAGAAGGGGAGGCAGGCGGGCCTAGCTTGCTGGCACTCACGGACAACATAGATGTAGGCATTGGCCAGCAGGACCCCGTGCCGGTTTCGGGCCTCACACTGGGTCACCATCGTGTCGCTGGGCTGCACGTTGCTCAGGATCAGGGATCCATGCTGGATCCGGTACTTCTGGTCCTTGGCCAGCTCTGTGCATGCAGCAGGTGGGTCCGAGGGCCAGAGCAGAGCAGTAAGCCACACAGAGGCCCCTCCTCACCCTCCTCTTCTTCTCCCATTTCCCAGGGCTCTCCATGCTCCCTACCCCTACCCGAGGCCCTCTCACCCTCCACAGGGATCCCGTTGATTCTCCAGGTGACCTCTGGTTGGGGCCTGCCCTGCACTTGGCAGTCCAGGCGGGCAGTCTCCCCTGGTCCATACAAATGGCTCTGGGGCTCGTGCAGCCAGTATGGGGCAGCTTTGAGGAAGGGGAGAGTTGCCCTGAGCCCACAGCCTGCAGCCAGCTCTTCCCATCCCTGCGAGTCCCCAGACTGTGGTCCCCAGAGATTATTTTTGGGAGCCTTGCAATGGGGCAGGGGTCAAGCCCAGCTTAGGCACCATACCCTCCACAGTGACATAGTAGGAATGCCGGTCACTGCCCAACGAGTTCTCAGCCACACAATGGTACTCGCCGTCATCCTCCTCGCCCACATCCAGCAGGTGCAGGGTCTTGTTGTGGTTCTGATAGGTGACTCTGTTGGCTGGCATGGGGCCACTTGGGCGCAACCACTTGATGGTGGGCGTGGGGCTGCCGGAGGCCATGATGTAGGGAGGCCAAGGAGGAGAGTGGTACAGAGAGAAGATAGGGCTGCTGAGCCCCGCTCCTTGACAGAGACCCTGCCCGACCGCACCCAAGGCTCTTAGACTCACAAGCCTTCAGCGATGCACTCGAGAACCAACGGCTGTCCCTGCAAGGCCACCAGGTGGCTGCTGGCATTGGTGGGGAAGAGAAGGCGTGGCTTCCTGTCGATCATGCTGTTGGCTGTGAGGAGCGAGGGAGTGGGTGACTCTGGACACTTTAACGAGCCTCTAGGGTCTCGGTTTTCTCCTCTGCTACATGAATGAGGGAGGACCTCATTTCTGCCCTTGCCACCTAAGAAGGGGTCTGGACAGGGTTGAGGTGGGAGCCAAGCTCCTCCCAAAGAAGACCAAGGTCCTCTGATCTAGGGGGTGGGCGGGACCTGAGGGTGAGAGAGGAGTGGGGGTGTGTCAGAGCCTTTGGGACTCACTGGCTTTGACACGAAGGTCAATAGGTTCCTTTTGAATGATTGTCCGAGTGCCAGGGAAGTGAGCATGGCAGATGTAGTCTGAGTGGTTGTCCGAGGTGAGCACATTCGCAAAATAGAGGTTGCCATTCTGGCCCATTGTCACCCGTTCGTCCTGTTTGATGTGCAAGATCTCTGCGGGGGTTGGGGACACAGAAGCAGAGGTTAGGACCGCCCTCCACGCCCCATCCAGGAAGACATGCCCGTTGGCACCCCCACTCCAGGCAGCAGCCCCTTGTGGGCACCCACTGCTGTTCATCCAGTAGATCCGGAGCGGCTCTGCACTGGGTGGAGGGTGGCAAGGCAGAATCACTGACTCCCCTTCCTCTACCTCGACAGGCTTTACGGTCTCCTTTGGCCACTTGGGGGCACCTAGAAGGGACAAAGAGGCCGGCAGGATGGGTCCCAACTCTCCTCCTGGTCAAGACAGGTCAAGGCAGGGGAAAGGTGGAGGAATAACTGACGGTGTGAGAGGGAAGGTCACATAACGGGAGGCGGAGACTTTGGGTTCTTTCTGGGCTCACGGTTGAGGCTGGCACTTCACGCAGGAGAGGATGGACAGGCCAGATGGCTCTAAAGGGTTAACCCTCCACGATTCTCAGCTCCCACCCCCAGGACAGGACAAGGATGGGTGGGGGGAAGGCTGACGTGCAGCAGTGGGGGAGGGGAGCTGTGGAGGATGTGGGAATCACAGACCCTTCCATCATCCTGACATAGAAACCATGGCAACAGTTCCCAAGGTAACCGGAGGTGCAGAGAGAGGAGAGAAGCGAGCTTGGGAGGCAGAAAGCTCAGGGAGGATGTAATGCGGAGGGAAAACCCCAGGGAAAGGGTGACACAGATAAAGGCAGAGCCAAAGAGGCCAGGTTGGAGATGGGGAGAAGGAACAGGGGGGAGAGAAAGGGGAACCAGAGGGAAGGGGACAGAGTGGTGGGAGAAGTGGAGAGAGATGACCCAAGGGTGGTGCAGAAGGAAATGGGACCACAGAGGTAGAAAGGGAACAGAAGCCCAAGCCCAGGCAATGACTCAGACAGAGACAGGGCAGGCAAGAGGGAGGGAGGACGCAGGCAGAGAATCAACCCTCCACCCACTCTGTCAGCCAACAAGCTTGAGCCCACAAGCTCCCACACAAGGCCCCTGAGACCTCGTCCAGGACCCTCTCATGTGCCCCAGGCCTTTCTCCCATCCTTGCAATGCCTCGCACCCTCAGCCATAAGCTGGATCTCATGGGACATGGCAGTGCCCAGCTTATTGCTGGCGAAGCAGCGATAGGTGCCCTGGAACCTCTGGGCAAAGTTGCTGTTGTTGCCGGTGATGGTGAAGTTGCCAGAGTGGGGCGCCTGGTACACGGTCACACCCGGTTCCTCCTTGGGTTTGAAGTGGATGCCATCCCGAGTCCAGCGGTACCTGTGGGCGGAAAAGGACTCAGAGGACTGAGGTCTTGGAACCTGGGTGAGGAGCTGGAATAGGCCAGAGGCAAGGGCAATAGCAGCCAGGGGCCCCCGGGATAGTCCAGGACAGGGCAAGGACCGAGGGTGATGAGGGAGATCTGAGGCTTCTGGGCTCAGAGGCTGGAAGGCCTGGGAGGCATGAGGATTAGAGGTTGAGGTCAAGAGTCAACAATAGGGCTTAGAGGGTGCAGGTCACTCACTGAACTTCGGGTATGCCACTGGCCTCACACTTCAGGCTGATGTCATCTGTGGGGAAGACAACCAGGCGCCGTGGAGACTGTTCCGTGATGACAGGTGGCTGCATCACTGGGGACGGGATGGGGAGAGTGGTGGTGAGGATGACGCCACAGCCTCAACCCCTGTCCCATCATGAGAGAAGCAGGGTCTGGAAGAGCCCCTAGAGGCTTCAGGGCCACGGGGGTCGGGGAAGAGGTCGAACATGCTAGAGAGACCAACAAGCTTGACCATAGGCATGTGGGGCGTGAACAGAGAGACAGAGGTACAGAAGAAATGTACAAAGAGACAGAACTGAGAAAACAGCAACAAAAGTTACAAAGAAAGATGTCTATAGGAGATGAAGCCAAACAGAGGGGCAAAGAGTGTGGAAGAAAAAAAATAAAAGAGGTAACGAAAAACCAAGGACACAGAAACCAAGAAGAACAAAACCCTCACAGGGAGAGAAGGTAAGAGAGAGGAGCACCAGGAAGCAGTGGCAGGAGCGAACTAGATAAGTCAGGCCAGGGCAGTGACCGAACAAAGCCCACACAGGTCAGAGGGAGGGAGGGGCTGAGGTGGGCCACCGGCTTGAGACGAGGGCCCCAGAGCCAGAAAAGACAGCAACCAGCACAAGGCACATGGCACACAGGGAGAGGGGGACTTGCTGGCACCCCCTCTTTCCCTCCTTCCCTGACCTTCCAGAAAACACTTCCGCACTCCTCCCCCAACTTACCGTGGTATCCTTCATCTGAGAAATCCAGGCAGCAAGGGAGAAAGTGGAGAGAAACGCTCACACACAGTCCCAGCAGGGGGCCCGACGGCAGGGGAAGAAGCAAGCATGTGCGGACCCCCTGGGGAAGGGGGGTTTGGGAGAAGAGGCTGTGGTGGTGTAACATGGCAGGGGAGGCACATGCCAGTCTGGAGCTGTGGCAGGTCGAGACCCAGGACAGGACAGAGCCCAGATCACCGACTTGGGGGTGGGGCCGTGCCTGAGGGGAGCCAGACCTCAGTGCCAGAGGGCAGGGGGAGAGAAATTCGTGCCTTAACAAGGAGTCCACTTTGGATAGACACTTGCATCTCCCTGGCAAGGCCTGCAGAACTGACCTCCACCCCACCCAGGATGCCTTGGAAAGCTGAGAGGCAGACAGCCCGCAGCCAATGCACCCTCCCCTTCTCCAGCGCACTTCCCTCCTAATCCAATTAGTACAGCTCAGTGTTTTCAATTACCCAGGCCCAGCCTTCAGAACCCAGCTGCCCCCTCCCAGTGAAACCCTCCCAAAGGCCCTGCTGTATCTGAGTTTCCAGCGCCCATAGGGCTGATACAGCCTTGGTTTCCTCCCCTTCCTTCCTCCGGGTCTGCCGCCAAGCTCCGTGGGGCTGAGGCCAGAGCCACTACCCAGCTGCAGGACTCAGCCCAGCACTGGCCAGGGTGGCTGTAAGGAGTAGGGACAGGGTGGGGGCACAGAGCGGGGAAGGGAGCAGTTGGCTGCTTCTGAAAGCTTTGTGTCTGCAGAAGACCTCAGTGTAAGAGTCCCCAGGAGAGAGGAGGGGGCTCCCTGGGGACACTGCAGAGAGCGCCCTGAGCTGAGGAGGAGCCAGTGCAGGCAGCCCAAGAGCAAGAGACAATGACAGGGACTACAGGATAGGGAAAAACTGACTGGGTGGAGAAATCAGGAAGAGACAAAGGGGCCTGGAATGGCTGGGGAGTGAGCTTGAGCTGGAGGCCATATTGTATCAGGGTTAATACTAAGTGCCGGCCAGTGGCCAGGGCAGCCTCGGAGCTGCCACGGTCTTTGGCCTACTTTGCTTTCCTCACTCCTGCCTTTCTCCAAATTTTCCCTGCCTCTCCATTCAAGACACACCCGCCAGATGGCCCAGCCTGTGTGGTAGCAGGGTAGGCCGATGCCCAGGGTAACACCTGAAAAGCAACTGAGAGGAGTAGGATGAGTACATGCGTGTGAATGTGGAAAAGTGTGAGAGTGGGCACATGCGTGGATGCCGCAGGGTGTACTGCGGTATGTTTGTGAGTGTCCACCAATGTATTTGTATAGGGCTGTGTCTTGCCTGAGTACATCCGAAGGCTGTGTATGTGCATGCTTGCATTCCGTTTACAATTTTGTGCTGTATACTCGCCTCTGTGTCTGTGTGGATGACTATTCCTTTGTGTCTAAACCCCTCACTTTTGTGTGTGTGCATGTGTATGCATGTCTGCGTGCCACCTATGGGTCCTCTCCGGGTCTCTGCCCCTTCTGTATCCCTGTGCCTGGCTGGAAACAGGTGGCTTGTCTGGATCTATCCATGCATGTATCCGTGGGCATCTGTAGCTGGGGAAATCTGCATGGGCGTGACTGCATGGACCTCCACGCGTGTATCTATGGGGGCATCTCCAACCTTTGTTCTGTCAGCCTCTCACCACCTCCTCTAAACCCTCACTGTCCCCCAATGCCAGGTGCCTGCTAAGCCTACCTCCTTTGGCCCCTGTCGGATTCCTCACTCCTAGTCCTCAACTCATCTCTCAGGGACACTGACCTTTTGCAGGTTCAGGCTCAGAGACAAAGGTAATAAGGTGGTGGTGGGGGGGGGGATTCAAGCTATAGAAGGAGCAGGCTCAAGATACACAAATGTGACTCTGTGAAATGACCCTCACTGAAGCCCAACAGCCACTTACAGCAGTGTTTACATCTCCTGTTCACACTCAGGAGAAAAGACCATCCCCGTAACGTACCCCCCCGACACAACCAGGTACATGTGGCCCCACTCACATGCATACAAGACCCACTACAATCAAAAGTTAACAAATACCTACAGACCTTTGCAAACCTGACCGATAAGCAACAGTTCTGGTGACTCACAAACTTACTCATACAGGAAATCAAAATCACAGTCAGGACCCATACTTAGTCAATCATAGCCACGCACATCCGCATATACAATTATACAGCCTGTCCAACTCACAAGCATACACAAATACTCCTGGTCGGTCACAACCCTCTAGCTACACTCCCAAACTACCTCCACACCTACCTGTGATTCCCCACAAATGTAATGCTCCAGCAGCCCCACCCCCCAGACCCACCGCATAACTACACATCAAATTGTTAGGATCCAGAAGCTTGCTGGGCTTTTGCAAAGTGTCTTTTCCTGTCTCAGTTCACAGGGCTACGTGGACCCAAGATGAGATTACCCATCAAATGAGATCAGAACTTGAATCCAGGCCTTTGCACAAGATAGTTGAGCAATGGGGACAGCCCCATTTTCTCGTCTGTCACGCCCCTAGGGGAGGGTGTGTGGGGGGGAGGGGGGGAACGGAACAAGGGAGAGCACAGAGGTGGCCTAAGGAGGCCGTCCGGTGCCAAGCCCGCTGTCCGCGGTGCTGAAAAAGGCCCAGCCTGCTTGCGCCTGTTCCCTGTCCATGGTGCTGACACACCCGTGCCTTCCATCCTCTTCTCTCCAGAGATACCCAACGTCCTCGGTACCTCCTGCCCACTCCGTGCCCAAGAAAGGAGGGGTTAGGGTCCGGAACCGAGAGAAGGTGAGGAGTTAGAAGATAAAGAGGAGCCAAGCGCGGCAATGAAGGGACACGCCAAGGCTCCCTCCAGCTACTCACATTCCTTGGGGATCTGGATGAGCAGGCAGGGGCTGCACAGGAGGAGAGGCCACAAGTACCGCAGCGCCACGGCCATCTTCCTGGCGGCGCTGGCGCGGCACAGCCGGCCTGACCCGGCTCAGGCTCCGGTCCAGAGGGAAGGGGGCTGGTGGGCGGCTTGGGGTGGGAGCTGGGGGTGGGGGCACTGGGAGAGGGGAGGAGGGAAGGGAAAGGTGAGGGAGAAGAGAGAACGGACGGCTGTTAGTGACTAACATCTGGGCGAGCCCGGGCTCCTGGCCCCGCCCCCAGCCCCGCCTGCCGCTGGCCATTCCCCCATCCCTCCTTCTCCCCCAACTTCTCAAAGACGAAGCACTGGCTGGGCCTCCAAATTGCTTTTCATTCCCTTCTTATTCTCTATCTTTGCCTTCCCCCATCAACTGCCTCTCCAGCACCAACTTGTTGCCCGAACCAGCTCCCCTGGACATACCACAGGCCACTCTGTGCATGTTTTTTTCCCATGTGTAACTCAATGCGCCAGCAAACAGGTGCCTGTGGGCATGAGTGTGGATGTGGGTCTGCATGTAGACAAATGTGCACAACAGTATGTATGTGGCTGTGTGTGCATGCAGGAGCACATTTGTATGTGCCTTCTCTGGGAAGGGGCTTCACTCAGGAACATGTGTGTGTCTTTCTGTATCTGTGGGGAGTGCATCCTCATGTCTGCTATTTTTGTGTGCACACCCAAGTATGGGAGAACTCTTGTCACAGTCTCACTGCCTCAGAAATGGGTTTAAGAACCTACTGATACCTGCATGTTGTTCAGGCCTAAAAAGGTGGCAGGGGGTGGGGATCTTGGGAAGCAGAGACAGGGAAGGAAGGAAAGGGGCTCGAGGAGGCTACATTTCACAGAACAGGATGAGGAAAATGAAAAAAAAAAAGGGGGAGAAGAAAGTCTGCCCTTAGGAAGTGACAGGAGGGAGGGAGGGAAAGAGGGAAAGACCTCTCTGCTGTCCCTCAGACCCCCAGGGGGCAGCAGAGGCGACTGTGGCTTCCCCACTTCCAGATGCTCCAAACCAGGGTCAGGGAAAGCCCTGGGACAGTGTTTCTGACTCCTTTCCAGTGTCTGGCAGGCTCAGCTTCTGAAGAGGAAGCAGACTCCCAAGAAGACAGACCACTCGGACTCCATACAGGAAAAGGTGTGGGAAAGGCAAGTGGTGACAGTGCAGGGCGGGGGGGCAACAGCAGGGTGCTGGGGGGCTGGGAACTTGGGGGCTGGAGCCTGGGTGTGGAGGCCCTCACCGAGTCCATACCGGGCATCTTCCTTGTGCCAGCCAGGACCTTACCAAGGGGCGGGGGGACCAAGCTTCATCCAGAATGCCAGAGAGGTGGGCAGGGAGGCCTGGAATGCTGTGCTAAGGCATCTAGACTGTCAGGAGTCAACCAGGAGCCACAAATTGGTTTTGTGTAAGGTGACCTATGAAGAGTGGCAAATGCAGATTTCCTGGAGAATGGACAGGGAAAGTAGATGGTGGTGAAAAGCAGTCAGCTTGGAGTTTTCATACTCCCCCACCCAACGCTGCAGGGGGAGGTGGAGAAGCACCAGAGCGGGTCAATATGGATGGGCTGGAGGCCAAGGGAATGACTTGGAGGAGAGGAAGTGGCAAACACATGGCCAATTCCTAACTTGCAAGAGCTGAGCTAGGGCCCAGAAGGGAGGAGCAACAGCGGACCTGTTCTACCCCCACCTCCCTCCACAAAGCCAGTGCAAGCAGGGTGGGCCTCAGGCAGACTGGGCCTCAACTTCAAGGCCTGTAGGAAGCAGTAGGAGACTCAGATCAGAGGGCAAGCGATCAAACAGCAGCCTTGGGAGCTCTGAGTGCTCTGGTCTTAGGAGGAGGAGGGGAGGGAGAAGAGAGAAAAGACGCTCAGAGAAGGAGCTTTCTGTACTCGAGGAGGCCCAAGTCCTCCATTTGCCAGAGTGACGTTCCCTGTCATGCCAACTCCTCCATTTGTCCTCCAAATCTAGGCTCCCAGAATGGGGTTTGGCATATATATAGCCCGGTGTATACACAGGGGACATGCAATACCACCAACCTCCTGGTCCCCACTCTGCCCCATCCCAGTGCCCCACAGTCTCACATCCAACCTCTTTTAGTCTCCTGGTATTTGCCAACCAGCTCGCCACCTTCCCGGGCACTCAGAGACAGGCAGGAGCCAGGCTGACAGGCTCCCTGACAGCTGGGAGGGGGCTCTGCCTCCTCTCCTCCCACTGCTTCTGGGTCTCTGATCTCTCACCATTCCTCTGGCAATTACAGAGCAAGCAGCTCAGGTTGTCAGCTCAGCAGGCCCCCTACCCCCATCAGCACCTCCAGGGGCAAGGGAGGGGGGAGTATTTCACAAGCTGGTGTACAGATGGAGCCAAGGCCATGTCTGTGAAGGTGGGGCAGACTGGGGAAGATGGAAGGGTGACAGACAGGGCGAGAAAGAGGCAGGAGGGAGCTAGAGAAGCTGAGAAGTGGGGCTGGGGGAGGGAATGGAAGACAAAGACAGATGCTGGACCATCACGGCAATCAAGATGAAAAAATCCAGAACAGAGACTCAGACAGCAAGAAAGGGAAGAGAAGAGGGGAGAGAAGTACAAGGCTGGGAGACAACTGCAGAAAGCACTGATGAGAAGTGGCCGAGCAAGAAGAGTGAGGGGTGTGTCTGCGTGCGTGCATGTGTGCGTGCGTGCAAATGCGCACAGGCCTAGTGATGCCTCCTTCGTGTCCTGATCCCTGGGCAATGCACCAGGCAAGGTGTGGGGAAGAAGAGATGGACCTGAGTCAGAGGAGGGGGCCCTCTTGGGCTTGTAGGTCAGGCTGGACTAATGGGCAGGGTGGAGTGGAGAAGCTGTGAGCCAGCACCAGGGAGACAAACAAAGCCCACGACAACAATGACAGAGACAGAGCAGCAGGTTTCTGGCTACTTGTGGCTTCGGAGCAAGGGTGTTTTAGTAGGACCAGATGAATGAGCCACTGCTGGCTGGCCCTCAGGGAGCAGGTGGGGGCCCCCACTACGGCAGAGGGGAAGGGCGAGGCACCCAGAGTACCACAGCAGATTCTTCCAAAATTGCCGCTAAGACACTGTGAGCAGCTGCCTGGCTGGCAGGGGGAAGCCCACGAGTCCACAGGCACAATAATGAAATTCTGTGCGCACTCCCGCATGTGCACCCTGCATAAACCCACCACTGTGCTGGGGGAGGGCACAACAAAGGCAGGCCGCTCCTCGGTGGGTCCAGCTGGGAACCCATCTTCCCCGGGGCCTCGCACACCACGCACAAGCTGGCAAAGAGAAAGGGCGTGGCAGGCACTGAAGCGATGAGGTCGGCAAGGTCAGGCCCACTGGAACCCGCAGGGAAGAGCTCAGTGGGACCCAAGAGGAGCCTCATCCCTTGCCACACCCTGGCACTCCTTTTCTTTGGCCTCTGTCCGCTGATTGGGGGAAACTTGGAAGGACATGGAGTCAGGCTGAGACTGGCGTGGCTTGCTTTCTTCCCTGCACACACATACACGCCTTTGAGGATGCCCTGCATGTGCGCACTGCACACATGCCCGCCAGCACCCACATCCTGCCTTGAGTCCTCTCTGCCCCTCCCATCTGATGCAAATGCACCCGCTGAAGAGGTAAGTAACACAAAGGTCCTCCAGCGCAGTGTCTGTTGAGAACGGCAGTGCCCTGTGACCTGGCAGGCCTGAGTGGGGGCAGGGCTGGGGGCTCCGCACCCCGGGTGTGGGATGGTCAGAGTGCGGGTGCCAGGTGTGCATACTTCTAGGTCTGCGGGGTCATGTGTGGTGACACCCATGCCTGGGTTGTCTCCTCAGCAGGACTGGTGGGGGCCTTAGAGCCTGTCGGTGTGCATATGAGGGTGTGGGTGTCACCTATTATCCCATGCACTGTGTTCCTTTAAGGCTCCTTCTCTCCCTCCCCACCAGGCTGTGGCTGGCGGGTTTCCATGGAGATGGAGCCCAGCTCCCTCCACTGGCAGAGATGGGGGAAGCCTAGAGGAAAGCTTGCTGCAGCCTAATGGGTTATTTAGATAATACATAAAGGAGGCTGATGGGTGGGAGCCCCCAGAGGTACCTGGGGGCCCAGAAGTCTTAAAGGACCATTGTGTTATCTGTGCTCCCTGCCTCTCCCCTCCAAAGGGCCCCTCAACCCAGAGTACCCCCTCAAGCCCCTATAAGGCTGAGGTCTCCAAGGCAACCAGGGCTTACCTGTAAAGGACCATTCTCCTTAAAGGATGAAGAAGGGGTGGGACAGAGGTTAACCCTTTGTAGGAGAGCAAAGAGAACAGCTTACACTAGGGAAGGAAGGGGGAACCTCACCATCAGTGGCAGGGACAGTTTTTCTTTACACCCCATCCCCACCCCCGTGTCACCAGCTGCCCCATTTTATTCAATAAACTCGTGGGGAGCACTTACCACATGCCAGGGAGTCTTATACACAGGGACACTTTTACACACATCATCCACTTAATGCTTAAAATTGTCCTGGGGAAGGATGTACTATCATTATCCCCATTTTACAGATGAGGAAGCTGAGGCTTAGAGAACAGAGTACAGTGTCCAAGGTCACAGAGCTGGCACTGACGCTCACCGGGGTGGGGTTCTAGATGCGGCAGAGGCTCCCTCTGGGCGTCAGCTCACCTGTCTGGGACTTGGTCTCCGAACACGTGCTCCCAGGGGCCAGGAGCTTGGACGAGAATGGCCTACAAGCAGTTCTGCACCCTGGGGAAGGGGCTATTTGCTAGCCAGATGGTAAGCAAATGTGGGGAGCGGGGAGGGAAATCTCGGGAAGGAGGCCAGGGGCGGTAAGATGTGACCCTCAGCCCGGAGCAGAAGCCATCCCATCCCTCAGCCTTGGGTTTTAAATGACTGGCCATCCGAGGACTCTGTCCAGAGAAGGCAAGCTCCTTTCCTCGTTCAGCTCAGGGACAGCCCGGATTTCTTGGGCCCCTCCCATTATCCAAAATGTTGGGTCACTCTCACCCCTTTCTTGAAACCAAAGGCCCCAAGGTCCCCTCACAAAGACGATTCGACTATCTGGAAGGCCCCTCTCTCCAGTCAGGGCTTAGGGACAGCAGTGTCTACCTGTGCAAAAGGGGAGACTGAGGCCCAGAGGAGTAGGGGTCACGACTCTGGTTTCCCAGGCTTCTAGAATGCCAGCAGTATAGCCAAGTTTC